CTATTATCCCAGTGTATCGGATCTTCAAATGGCTTAGCTAGGATCAGCATAGTAAGTTTAAAACAATGTACAAGAAAGTAGAGCAAATTGATGAATTTTATCGGAGGTTTCTTTAATTAATTTAATGTGAATATTGAATAGTATAAAATGATTGAAATATATAATTATTAACCCAGAAATATCTGACCTTCATACAACAGTATTAAATATAGACTGAAACAGCAAAATGAAGTACTTTACTTCATTATCCATTGTTATAACTACAATAACTATCAGTAACTTTGTAGCATTGAAACGATGGTAATGTTGCTTACTAGCATCATAAACTAATATTGTAATAACAGCCACTTGAAAGTATTGCTGTAAAACTCGTTCTGAAGCAAGTTCTAGCACTATTCCAGGATCAACTGGATCGAGGTCAGAGCGAGTAGTAAGATCCATAGAGTGAATAAAGCTTTATGCTTATGGTCGGGGATCAGGGGGTGCAAGTACACATCTACAAGGCATTGTTAGGGAAAGTAGTCTTATACTACTTACTGTGCAAGATGTGATCGTAAATCGTGATAGAAAATTTCTTGCAACAACTGCACATTTGATGCGCCTAAAGGTACCATCAAAGTATTAGGGCGTTACATGTTTGATAGCAAATCTATTTTTATACAGATAAGTATATGATGTCTATTGAATGTTTGATGTTCAAGTATATAAATTGTTATATATCAGGGAAAATGGACTAATAGAAGGAACTCTACAGTAAAGATGTTGTGGGCAGAACCCTGAGTAAAGCTGAAATAAAATGCTGTTAGAGTTTCCATCATTGCTGAAATGTACAGCAGTTTACTGTATATACTTTGATCTTACAGGATCAAATAATTCGTTTGATCAAAGCTTATCTCCAGCCGGTTCCTTCACTGCCTTAATGCACGTTATGATGATGTATTACATCACGAAAAAGTCGCAACAAATGTAATTAATAATAGCAAATATAACATAATAATGTACTTATATATCAATTACAATTCAAAATTACAATTATATTTTGCTTGTAATTGAAATGTAACAAATGTATATAAATGTAATACTTATACAAGAGTTGTATTATACTACAATTGTTTTTTGAAGCAAGTAATGTTACTACCAGTATTACTACAATATTATATGTGAGACATAAGTACTTAACTTTTATTGTAATATGTTAAAATTGTATATAAATTTATATACAACAGTAGCCAATTACTAATAAAGTTTATAACAGTTCTCTATTACTCTTGTAAGTGTTTTATAAGAGTTCAACTTTTGTTATATTACAATGGAAGTATTACATTACTCTTGTAATATATAAGTTAGAGTAATTATACTCTTATAAAGTAAATAATTGGCTAAACAGTTGTTTATAATAAACTCATAAGTATCTTAAGTACTAGCCAAAATACATGTACATTTATTCTCATCAGTCAACAGAGCATTTATAATAATAATATTTTAAATGTAATACTTTATGATATAAATTATCTGTGATTACGTAAACAAGGACTGAAGATTGAGAGCATATAATGATGCACTTGTCCTTGTTACTTCTTTACCTCTACCTCTACCATCTCTCCCAACCCTCTGCCCCTAACACTATAATGTTACTTTTGTTCTCCTAGTACAGTCCTTAACTTGTAAGCATTCTCTAGCAGGCACTCTGCCTGTAATAACCTAGGTAATAAACATTACTGTACTTGTCTCTCTAATCTGTTGTTATAATACCTGTACTGAGCCTCATATCCTGTGACAACAAGACCTAGCTAGCTATACTGTCCTTTAGTATAAAGTGTAAGTAGTTAGTCTACTTTATAATAACCTGTACAATAGTTGCTCACCCCTCTCCTCCCAACTTTTTTGTCTTCCTTCCATCCCTTCCACTCCTTGTTCTGCCTCTTACATTACCTCTCCTTTGTTGCCCCCCTTTTTATTATGCTTGCCTTCTTTTTTACAGTTATATTTACACATCTGCATTTTTTACTAATACAGAACAACTTCTTTAATAATTCTATACATTTATGTACTTCTTCCTACTCAGTAATACAAGTAACAATTAGTAAGTATGTGCTTACAACAATGTCTATGTATAACTACTCCTTAGGTACAATCCTCTCTCTGACCCTTTATACAGTCTCCTACTCTACCTAACATTCTATGTTTGACATTACTCTTAATAGGTCTACACTGTGTGCATTTATATTCCCTAGTACTGTCTACAACACTATTTTGAATAACAGAAGTAGTAGCTACTACTCATCTCTCCTGAGCTAAGTCTGTCTACATTGTCTACTTCACCTTTACCTTTTGTACCAGAACATTCTATAGATACACCTTGAAATCAACAACTCAGTTTACTGTACCTTCTATTAAACACTATAGATAAACTATACAGTGTATGTAGACAGACACAGTTTTGTTTACAGTCTAAGTCAGCTTATTTAACACTCTAGATCTTAATCTGTATAGACTACTTATACTTACTACATACTATTACTATGTGTCCATCTTTTCTTTCTTATTGTCACTTGCTAATCACTCTAAACCTGTCTCACAGACACAGTCTCACCCTTTACAATCTGCTCAACCTTACAACTTACACATATATGTAATTCTACTTACAGAGACTGAGTAACAATTAAGGCCTAGTAATAAAGACTATATTAAACAGTTTA